GCAAAGCCAGTTTCAGGGATAAAGTGATCTCAAGCCCAGCCCGAACTTCTGGGTAGGGCCAGCTATATAATTTGTGGGGCCAAGTGTGAAATGAAAATGCAGGGCCACTTATTCAAAAAATCATTAAGGATTTCAAGTGCAGGGCCCTTCTGAGCATAGGGGCCTCTGTGACTGCACAGGTTGTATGCTCATGAAGTCACCCCTGCTCCCTGGACTAAAGGGGAGACCATCCATCCATCCACCAATTCATCCATCCATCCATCCATCCATCCATCCATCCATCCATCCATCCACCATCTGTTTATCCATCTCTCTGTGCCTGGCAGGGGCTCTCAGGGGCTAATGGCAAAGCTGGATGGAACCTCTGGGGTCACTGAGCTGTTCCCACGCCCCACCTTCACTTTACATAAAAAGAAATTATGGCCGGAATGGAGAAGCAAGGTGACCATTGGCTCCACGGCCCACAAAACTAGCCAGGAGGGTTCCCACTCTTCGTCGGGATGGCGTCTTTCCTTTTCGGCCCAAACTCTGCCCTGTGGCCTCACCTCAGGGACAGCTGAAGCTGAGCCCTGGAAAACAAAGGTAAGTGGTGAAGACACAGCACCCGCAGTGGCACAGAGGAAAGGCCAGGCCTACAGGCGGGGTCCTGGGCTCAGTGCTATCGCCAGCGATCTGTACAACCTGAGGTACAGCCTCTCCTCCTCTGGGCCTCGGTTTCCCATCTATACAGTAAGGACGTTGAACTGGGTGGCCCCAAAAGTCCTTTCATCTCTGACTTTCAGGAGCTGTCTGACCCCCTGGCCCTGCTGCCCCCACCTCCCAAGGGACAAGGCTTTCCATCACAGGGCGGAGAAGCTGGCACCTCTGGCAGATGAAAGGTTTCAGGCACCTGAGACATCAAATAGCCCTGGTCTGAAGCAAGGAGGAGACGGGGTATTAATGCAGCTAAAGCAATACACTTTGATTTTCAATCTCCTGCACTAGTCGGGGGGTGGAGTGCCCGGAAAGCATCTGGGAAAGGGGGTGTCCTGGGGCAAGGGCCTTTTGCCTGAGGGCTCTGGGTCTATAATCTTAGGAGGGGTTTGAGGTAGGCTTCAATACTGGCAGCAACAAGTGTGTGAGTTCCATATCCTCTCCCCAGAGGTGGGTCTCTGCATCCATCCATTCCCTCGCCTCTGGACCCCATCTTTCATCCATCTACCATGGGCCAAAGCCTCGCTTCCTCTTGAAGTAAGAGCATATGAGGTTCGAAATATCAGCATTGAAAGGGACCTAAAGGGTCACAGCATCCATACACACAGCCCCTAACAGCATACCTCCCAGCCCTTCTTCCTCAGTATCACAGGACAATGGGCACATGGGGCTCTGGAAACACGCCCTGGGTGCTCCCAGAGAAACTGGGTGCATTATTAACAGGCCTCTCTAATTGTCAGCGAGTTCCTCCTCATGATGGCAGGTAACAGTGTTCCATTAGCGGTCATCGATCCTGACTGCTTTCTGTAGTGTGTAGGAAAAGCGTAAGGAAAAAAACCCCTTTCACTGTGAAGTTAAATATGCATGATATCTGAGTACACAAAAGGGCTTGTGCGGCTGCCAATCGGGGCTGGTGTGGCCTGGAATCCTGGAATTGTTTTAGGGCTAGAAGGAGCTCAGAGATCATTTCGTTCAACCTCCTAGTTTTACTGCTGGGAAAACTGAGGCCCAGAAAGGGACTGACTCACCCACAGGCACACAGGACAGGTTCCAGGGTCTGATGACCACTCTGGAACTCTGAGGGGACCCCATCGCTGAGGCACATTCTCAGAGCTGATGCTGGCTCCCCAGGGGTGGCGCAGTCCCCACCCAGCCTCTCATCAGGGCGCTGGAGTCAGGAACACCCAGGAGCTAGTCCCGGCTCCACCACTTTCTAGCTGTGGGACTTTGGGCAACTGACTTAACCTCTCTGGGCATGTCCTCATCTTTAAAACAGAGTTTATATCTAATGCTGGAAGTTATTGCGATGATTAAATTAGTTCAGCAAGTACTTAAGCACTTACTGAGTGCCAGGCCTGTTCTAAGCACTGAGGAATACAGGAATGCAGCAGTGAACGTTGCAGTAATGGATGTAAAGCACAATGGAAGTGTTCAGAAAGGGCTGGTCCCTGTTATATCATCCTGCACACATTGTTCTCCAGCTGAGGCGCTACCAGCTCTGACCCTGGGGAGGCACGGGGGACGGGAGAGCGGGGAGGTGTGTGCTGTGGAAAACAGTGGAGGAAGATCTTTCTCCATTCCAAGTGTCCACTGCCCACAGGGTTCTGAACCATGTGTAAAAAATGGGGTAGGCAGGGGGTGCATTTCAGCGATGTCTGGGGACTCTCTCATTCCTCCCTCCCTCCTCACCACACTCAATGCCCAGAATCCCCTCCTTCAGGTCAAAGGCAGCTGGTCTCAGAGCCAGACTGTACCTGGAGGATGGAAGTGGGCCTTTAGAATACCCATTTGGCCAGGTCTCTTCCATGGGCATATAGTCCTTCATGGGTTGCAGACCAATTTCACAGCCAAGTTGTCCTGTGCAGGAGGCGGGAAAGCAAGGACTCTCTCTTACCCAATGGCGTTAGGTCCTGACTGTGAAATGCAGGGACCGTGCTAAGCATCTTACCTACACTGTTACCTCATGGAGCCCACATACCGCCTTGCTGCTCACAGAGTTGGGGACTGAGGCCCAGAGAAGCAGAGCACTGGCCCAGGGTCACATAGTCAGCCAACTGACACTCAGGCCTGGTGGTGTTTACCCACGGTGCCCACTGCCTTCCAGATGCGGAGGCAGCCCAGAAAGAGCAAGCAGGGGCCTGAAGTTGGCGACACAGTGGATTTGAGTTGAGCCGGGGCAAGCGCCAGGTCTCCTGACTCTGAATCCACGGTGCTTTCCGCTGCCCCACATCTGTGGGCAATTACAAGTCTCAACTCTTCTTCCCACAGAGGAGGGAGGGCTGCCTGAGCATGGGTGAAGGGAGGGTGCTGACCAGATGGCCTTTTTCTTCACTCAGGACAGAGCCAGGGACAGGTAGACCTGGGAGCAGGTCAGGCCTGCTGCTGAACGTGCTGCTTCGGATGATGCTGGAGGCAGGAGGATGTGGGAGGATGGAGGCGCTCTCCCCTAGGACCAAGGCAGACCAGGCAGACCTCTACTAATTGTGGGACCCTGAGAAAGTCACTTAGCTTCTCTGAGCCTCTGTTCTTTTGTCTACAAAGCAGGAGGAATAATGCTGATTCCAAAGACCTGTTGTGGGGATTACAGGGCATGTGAGTTCCCAGGCTCTGTACCTGGCATGGGGTCAGCACTCAGTGACGATGACCAACATGGTCCGCCTGTCCTTGAGTGTGGTGGACTCAGGGACCTCCAGATTGGAGGCAGGGGAAGACTCTTAACTTCAGATCTCGCTAGAGGCCTCTGTGCACTTTGGGATCACAGAGGCAGGCAGGGACACTCTTCCCTGTTTGACATAAAAACATGCAGTCTGGAGGAAACCACATGATGTTCTGGAAGGGCCTCTGAGAGAAGACAGAAGGCCTGGGTTCTAGTCTCACACTTGGGAACAGAAGGTCTTCAGTGAATCAGTCCCTGTTCCCTTTCACCAGCACCTTTCCTCAGCCCCTTTGCCCACCTGGGGAAATTGGGGACAAAACACAAGATGGGGAAGCTGAGGACCTGATCAACCTCTGGTGTGCAAACAGAACACAAATAGGAAGAAAAGGCCAAGCAACAAGGCTCCGGCATGAAGGGCATGGCGAGCACTTGGAAGACTGGGAGAACCTGGGAAGGCTGCCTGGAGGAGGGAAGTAGGAAGGAGCCTTGAAGGGAAAGTGGAAGCGATGGGGAAGGGCACATCCACAGACAAGATTGTGCAAATTTCTTCTGGGAATCCTGAGATCTGACTGGAAGGAACAGGAACACAGGGAGCAATGCGGAGTGATGGGGCAAGGAGCATACTACCTCGCCAGACTCTGCCACTTACTTCCTGTGTGGTACAGTTTTGTGGCTGCTGGGAACCTCAGTTTCCCCACACATAAGGCAGGCATAAATTCAGTTCCTGCCTCTGGAGTTGCTGGTGAGCGTTCTGTGAAATCACACTTACAAAACTCTCCGCACAGTCCTGGCATGCAGTAAGTGTCAATCAGTGGCAGCGCGGTTAGGAGTTTGGGCTTTCTACAGGCTCTTTCTACATGGGAGAGTCACAGAAAGAATCGTGTTCCAATTCATGTTTTAGGATAGAGTGGAGAAGGGGCAGCGTCCGGAAGAAGGGAGACAGCCAGGAGGCCTGGGACCAAAAGAAAGGGCCCAGCAGCCGACCCCCTTTCTTCACAGAGGGGCCCCCAGATCTGATGGCCGGCCGGGTCCCAGGCCCCCAGCCCCAGTGGCAAGAACGTGGCCTGCCAAGTGCCAGCCCCCTCGCCTTTGCACTTTCCCAGCCGCTGGGGGTTTGGAAGGACATCTTAGGAATCTGGAAAATTTGCAAATCCATTTAAATCCCCAGAGGTTGCCTGGCGGCCGACTGGCCTAAGGCCAGACAGATTCTGAGGGACATAAGCCTTAGGTCTAGGGACAGGAGGTGTGGCTCGGAGGTTCCCTGTCCCCTGCTAGGTCCCCTTTCGGTGTGCCCTGCTTGCCATCTCCCAATTTCCTTCTCATGCCCCTCCCTACTCTCCCCCATCCCCCACAGGCACTGCTGTACTTTGGAGGCCCCCACTCGGCACCCAGAAACCTCTGGAGTTTGTTTGACGAGGGCAGGGGGCAGCAGGGCTGAGGAGGCTGGGGCCACCCTCCCCAGAAGCAGCCTGAGCAGAAGAGAGGAGAAAAGTAGTCCCTCCAGCCCTGATGTCGCCCGCCCGTAGCCTCCAGCCTCCACCCATCTGGTTTTGTTAAAAATATTTTCCATTTTTGACCTACCGGAGAAGTCACAGGCTGGGACAAGGGGACAGGACAAGGAGTTGGGGTTCCCCACTCTACAAGCACTTACCTTGCTGCTGATATCTTTTGATGTGCACAAGGTCCAGGGCTGTGGGCTGTCACCCCCTCCAGGAAGTCCTCCTCACTGCCCCTCCTGTTATCAGCAAGTCTTTGCTGGCCCGAAATGAGTGGGCAACAGCTGAGTAGGAGAGCAGAAAGGACCGTGGTAGGCTCCTGGAGCCTCGGGAGAAGGGAGGGAGTCGGGGGCTGCAGGGGTGAGGAGAGGCCTCACGCCCAAGGCATCCTTCGGAAGGAGCAGGGTTGCCAGGAGGGGCCGCCCTGGGTCTGGCTGTCTGTGTCGCTCCGCACAGGCTGCTGCCCTGCGGCGCTGGTCAGAGGGGCCCCGGCTCTCTCCTCCTCGTCCTCCTCTCCCGCTCCAAGTTGCTCACGGAGCAATCTTGGGTCCCAGACGGGGCGGGCAGGGACTGCGGGCTGCTGGCAGCCCCCAGCGCTCACACCACTGCGGGCTTCCCTGCCCACCCCCCCTACTTTGGGGGAAAGGCTGCAGGGCAGCCTCTGATTGGCCCAGCTGAGAGAAGGGGGGCGGTGGGGCGGGGAGGGTGGACGCGTGCGTCTGTTTTCAATTTCAGTTTTTTTCCCCCTCTCTTACTTTCCCCCCAAGTTTCTTGTTTTTCTTCCTTTTTTTCCCTCTGCTTGCTCCCTCCCGTCGCCTGCTCTCTCAGGATGTGAGGGGATGTTTAGAAATTCCACAGCCCACGCCAGACGCTGAGTCACTTTTATTAAAGAGTGCCCCAACCCCACTCTCCTGACGCCATCTCAGGTAGCAGCCTCCGCTTACCGTGGTACCTGGGAGCAGGTCCCTTCTCCGTGCCTCGGTTTCTCCATCTGTAAAGGGAGAGCTGATCACCTATACGGTTGATTCGTTCAACATTCATTCGTTGAACAGCATGTTGAGCACCTACTATGTGCCAGACACTGCGCTGGGTGTCGGGGATGCAGAGTGAGTAGGATACAGTCCCTGACCTCACGCGTGCCCAGGCTGGGGGCAGAAACAGACAATGCATAGGCTGGCACTTCAAGGGAGGGCAGGCATCTGAGAGTAGAGTTAGAGGGTCACCGAACTGAGGTTTGGAGGGAATCAGAGAGGACGTCTGAGAAGAGGTGACTTAGAAGAGATGGAAAGACCTTCCGAGATTATCAGTCACTTCACAGAAGAAAGCAAGGCCCAGGAGTGAACTGGTGCAGAGAGGGAAAGAGACTTGCCCAAGGTCACTTCAGATTTCCAGACATATTCCTTGCTATCATCTCAAAGCCCCTGGCATCCCAGGAAAGGGTATTTCCCCACTTTATAGATGAGGAAATTGAAGCCCAGAGGAGTGAAATGAGTTTCCCAAGCTCACACAGCGATGGCAGAACTGGAATGGAATCAGGTCTCGCGTATAGCACGATGGAATAGACACAGGTGATCCGACCACAGCAGAAGAACCACATCACAGTGTAGACTGGCCCTGCTATCCTGCCTTCTTCCTAGGTTACCCCTTTCCCTGTCTCTCATTCAGTCACTCGACAGGTATTTCTGAGTACCTGTTGTATTCCATGTCCATCCTCCTGCCCTCCGTTCCCACCAGGATCTCCTCCAGGACCCTGGCTGGGCCCTCATCCCCTCAACGCCTCCCATCCTCCTTTTCTCAGATCAGAAGATGTCTCTAGCGACAAACTCCTGGCCTTTAGATGCCAAGCGGCATCATTTTAAAAGGACTTAAGAGTGTTGAGTTACCCCCTGCTTCCACTACTGTACACGTGGGAAACTGAGTCCCAGAGAGGGGAAGAGAGGAGTCCCAGGTCACTCGGACAGAGCCTGACTCTTCTCAGAGCTCTTTCCATCCTGCCCCCTGCTCCTCTGTCTATGCCCTTCTTCTCCTGGGTCTCCCCCGGGCCTTGTTCAGCTGGCATTTCATGCCAACCACGGTAACCTCTCCTGGCAGTCATTTATTGGTCTTGTCCTGGTGGGGACTGCACAGCAAAGCATCTGGGCTGGGCCACACAGAAGGGGAAGGGTTCTCAGACTGGCCCCAGGGCAAGGGGTGGGGGCCCTGAGAGTCTCCCAAAAGAGGGGCTGGCCCAGCCTGGTGGCAGCAAGCTTAAAGGGGAATGCCAAGGACTTCAAACCCAGAGGGTCAGGCCATACAGGGATTTCTCGTGCCCAAAACTCCATCGGTCTTTACAAGTCCCTTCCTAGCATTTGCTTTGGTCATTCACCTCCCAAGTCTTGGCCCAATTGCTGGGACTAAGATAGCTCAGTGGCAGCAAGGAGGTATTTCAATCCCTAGCCCTTCCAAAAGCTAGTCTGGGAGTCAGGAGACCCCGCTGTGGACTTGTTGTGTGGCCTTGGATAGGTATTTGTCCTCCCTGAGCCTCAGTTTCCCCATCTGTACATTCGGGAGGATTCACGATGCTGGAAGGCCCTTGGGATGCTCTGTCTGCAAGTTCCTTACAGTTGGACTCTGGCTAGGAAGAGGAGGCTGGTGGGCCCCAGGGCAAGGGGACAGCTGGGGGCCAGAGATGCAGCACAGAGGGGAGGGGGCGGCTGGTGGTGGCTCCCCCGGGAAGCTGGCGGCCGCCAGTTTCCGGCCAGCCCAGCCTTCCGGCTGGCCCATCTGGAATCACTTAGCCCCTACTACCATTAACCCTTGGCAAGCACCAGTGCTGTTACGCCTCCTTTCAGCTGAGATGGGGCTGGGGGATGCAGAGCTACACAGAACACGACAGGGCACTCTCCGAGGGCTGGGCAGGTGAGGCAGAAGGGTCATGATCGACAGGGCAGGTTCTAGAACCACAGACAGAGCTGGGTTCAAATCCCAGCTTCTGTAGTTCCAAGCTACATCATCTTGGGCAAGTTATTTAAACTCCTGAGCCTCAGTTTCCTCCTCTGGAAAAATGATCATTTGGGGAATGATTCGTAAGGCTGTTGCGCTATGTGATGAATGCACTTAAGGGCTTACTCAGTACAGTGTCTGGAAGTGCTACGATTGAAATAGTGGGTTTCCCTCATTCCAGCTGCATCCCATCACTGTGTGCCCCTGGGCTGAGCTCTCCTCTGGACCTCAGTTTCCCCAGTGCACTTTGAAGGGGTGGGCAGTGGGCAGAGCAGCACCATTATTCTGGCATGGTCAGCATGGCCCAGCCCAGCCCCACTGTGGACAGGAGGAGCTATGAGCAGTCTCCCACCTGCCCAGATGCTGGGAGCCCAGTCCAGCCTCAAACAATCCTGTCTTGGAGGAGGCTGGGCTGAGAGTAGGTGGGCAGAGCGTGGATGTGGGAGTCCTGCCTGAGGTGGAGTGGGATATGGCGCAGAGGGAGAGGGGAGCTCTGCGCCTTGGGGTTCAGCACTTCCTCCCCACTGTATGGTGGCACGTTCAAGGTGAGCTCTCATGTCGGTAGTTCCAACCCAGCTCTGCCTCTTCCTAGCTGTGGGACTCTCTGGACAAATCACATGACCTGAGCTCTCTCTGACTCAGTGTTTTCAGCTGTAAAATGGGGCTACATGTGCCTACTTCACAGAGTTGTTGAGAAGCCTGAATAAGTGATGCCCAGGAAGCATTTTCTACAAGGAATACAGCAGAGTGAAGAATCCACAAAAGGTGACAGGTTCTCAGGTGTCTCTGGGGACTGCTGTCATGGAAGTGCTCCATCAGGACAGGAGAAAAGCTCCGCCTACCCCTTGTTTTACAGCCAGGATGACTGAGGTCCAGTGATGGATGCTGACTGTGCAAGACACTTGGAACTGAGGTTTTTGTCCAGACTCTCAGGCCCATGCTTTTCCTGAAAGAGGGAACCAGGCTGAACTAAACCACCCGCTACACCCCCACCCACGCCTGACAGAGCCGGAAGCCACAGTTCTCAGTGGGGCGGGTGTAGGGGGAGAAGGGGTCCAGAAAGGGCGCCTGAGTGGGAGAATTCCCAGTAGGTCGGCTCAGTTCTCACTCAGTCAGGGCCAGCGGCCACCACATCTGGCTCTCCCACGCTCCTAGCATTGCCCCCCCTCCCAGGCTCCCCAGGCTCGGGCCGAGGAAGCAGCACACATGTCCCAGGCATCAGCACAGTCATCTTGGATGTCAGGGTCCAAAGAGTCCTAAGAGCGAGTCCATTGTACAGGCATGGAAACTGAGGCCTAGAGAACAGAGTGGACTTGCCCAAGGTTAGCAGAGAGAGAAAAGGCCTGGAAGGCAGGACTCCGCAGGTAGGTCCTTGTACTTGCAGCTGGGGAGCCAGAAGAGGCACACAGTGGGCATTGCCCTTCTCCGCCTGGACACTCAGCACAGTGGCTGGTTGTCTAGTTGGGCAGAGGGACCAGTGGGGGAGCTTCAGGCTACATTCCCGCCCTAGATACCTAGGACTGCTCTTACTGGGACAGACTATAGCCGCCAAGACCTGACCGAGTCCCAGGAGATAAGGGCTTCGACACTCTACCTACCTTGGCCTCTCCCCAGCCTCCAGCAGGCCTCAGCCTCAGTGCTCCAGGGAACAGGGGTGTGTCCTCCTGGTACGCAGATGGCTCCAGGATCATCAGAACAGCAGGACCTTCAGAGGCCACAAATCTACCCCACCAGACACACTGGGTCCCAGAGAAGGCCAGAACCTGCTCAAGGGCACACAGCAAGTCAGCAAGTCTGGAATGAGGCCTCTGACCCTGATTCCCAGGCCATTTCTCCATGCAACGGAAGTTAATCGAGCACCTACTATGTGCCCTGCCAGGGCTCACAAGCAAACACCAAAGAAACCACAAATTAATAATATCAAATTGTGATATATGATGAAAGAGAGAGAACAATGGGTTGGGGAGATGGGGGTTCTCATTTAGGCATTTAGGTACATTAAGGCTTCTTTAGGGAAGAAATATTTCAACTGAGACCTGAGGTTAAGAGGCCACACACAATGTGGGGACAGGAACAGTGTTCTAGGTAAAGGAAACAGCATGTGCAAAAGATTGGAGGCCAGAAAGAACTTGGTGTGCTTGAACAGAAAGAAAAGAATGGCTGGGGTGCAGAAAAGGGCCATGGTGGGGTATAGGCTGGAGATGTAGTCAGGGGCCAGGTGTCAGGGCCCGTGGGCCCAAGAGGAGCCTGGCTTTTATTCTGAGGGTCAGGAAAGACCACTCCAGCATTTTAAACAGGTGACTAATGAGATCAGGTTACTGGGGCGCACTGTGGAGAATGAGCTAACGGTGCAAGAAGTGAGGTGGGGGGAGAGCTAGTATGGAGGCTGTAGTAGTCCAGCATGGGCTGACTGCCTGCCCCCATCCACCTGAGAGGCTGCAGGGATGCACCTGACAGGGAGCTGGAATTTCTGAGCCTCAGCCCATGCTTGACCACTGACTCACTGTGTGACTTTCCTTTCCTTTCCTGGATTCTCTAGCTACTGTCAGACACAGTGCTTCTTCGTATAATGACATTTTGTTCCCTCTGCTCCCTAACTGGCAGTGTACAAGTGGGGGGGGGCTGCCTCCCTCCTCCA